CTACAGTTGCATCATTTGCCTTTCTCTGCCAAAACAGGAGCTAGACGGGAGCATGTGGGTTGTGGGTGGGGAGCAGGGTGGTGGGGCCTCAGGGGTATAAGACCAGGCCTGGGACACAGGGAAGGCAGGAGAGAGGAAGTACGAGCGAAGGAGTGTGGTCAGAGCCGTGTTCTCTACCCTGCTGGGAACCCTCCACCCCATCACTGCTACCTGCAACTGACTGTGGGAAGTCTGGGTTCTCTCCCCAGGTGCAGGAGGGGAATAGAGTCCAGTGGTTAGAGCGGTGGGGGGGAGGGCACCTGGGTTCTCTTCCCAGGTATAGAGAGTAGAGTTGAGTAGTTAGAGCAGGGGGTCCTGGGAGCCAGGACACCTGGGTTCCATCCTGCTGCTGCTCCCTGTGTTCCTGGCCATGGCGGGACCATGGCCTCAGGTGTCCGGGCCGTGCTGGTTGCTGGCAGGTGTGCTGCTCTGGGGGGCCAATTCCCCTGATCCTGCCCTAGGCTCCCCCCTGCGCGACTCCAGCCCCCTACTAGCCCTCGATGGGCAGGTGCGTCTGCGGCACCTGTACACAGCCAACGAGCACACGCAACTTCACCTGGAGATCCTGCCCGACGGCCGCGTGCGGGGAGTGCCCCAGCAGAGCCCATACAGTAAGTGCCCACCACCCGGACACCTGGGTTCCAGGATGGGGGCAGGGGGGAGCTTGGATCCATGATGCCTGGGTTCTGTTGTGGTCCTGGGATGGGAGTGGGGGGATCTGGTGGGCTAGAGGAGGGTGGGGGATCTAGGAGCCAGGACACCTGGGTTCTTTTCTGGCCTTGAGAGGAGTGTTGGGGTCTGGTGGGTAGGAGCAGGGTGGGGCTGGGAGCTCAGACACCTGGGTTCCATCCCAGTTTTGGGGCTGGGAGCGTGGTCTGGGGTGGTTAGAGCAGGGGGATCTGGGAGCCAGGACTCCTGGGTTCTCTTCTAGTCCTGGGAGGGGAGTGAGGGCTGGTGGGGTAGAGCAGGGTGGAGCTGGGAGCCCAGATGCTTGGGTTCCACCCCCAGCTCTGAGAGGGGAGTGGGGTGTTGTTGGGGTGGCTTGGGGGAGGAGGGTGCAGGGCAGGGTCCCAGATGCCTGGGTTCTGTGGCTGATGGTGTGGGGCCGTGGCAGGTCTGATGGAGATCAAGGCAGTGAAGCCAGGGGTGGTGCAGATCCAGGCGGCAAAATCCCTGCAGTTCCTGTGCATGGATGTCCGGGGGCGGCTCTATGGAGCGGTAAGTGTGGCAGGACTTGCCACCACTGGGCTCTTGGGTGCTCCCCCAGCTCCGGGAGGCGAGTAGGGCCTGGTGGGTTAGAGTCCAGGGGGAGGAGCTGGGAGCCAGGATACCTGAGTTCTCCCTTTGCTCGCAGCCGGGCTCGGTGTGTGGCACAGCTGCTCATGTCCCCCTCTCCTCCCTACACAGGGCTCGTACTCCACTGAGGCCTGTAACTTCCGGGAGAAAGTGCTGAGCGATGGCTACAACCTGTACATCTCGGAGCACCACAACCGGCCCCTCAGCCTGACACCCTCTGGGGCCTTGCCGGGGACAGGACGCCCCAGCCCCCCACTCATCCAGTGGCTGGCCCTGG